CGGGTCCCTGCGAGGGCTGCAGCTGCCTCCGTTTCCCATGGACAGACCCCGGAGCAGAGGCCGGTGCAGCTGTCCGGGCTCCGTTTCGTGGACGAGGGGATGCGGGACGGAGCCACCGCGTCCCGCGCTCCCGTTCCTGGCACCCACGTTGGGTTCTGCGGCTTYGCCGTTGGGTTCTGCGGCTTCTCCGACTTCCCGGGCCGTGTCCTAGGCTGGAGGGCATCGCTGACTCACTGGCCATCAACTGCAGCGCTCGCTCCTCATTTGTGGTATTTAAATAAAAGTGATTAGGGAATCAAAGGGCCTCAGAAGCAGCCCCTTATCTCCCCCAGCAGCTGTTCTGCTCATTAGGCTTCGCCCGCTCCGCTGCCCGCTCCAAAGGCGCGGGGTGAGGGGGGATTGTGGGGGGCACTGGCTGCGGGGGCGGCTTCGGCCGGGCTGGGAAGCGAGGGCAGCTCCTGGCTCCGGCACGAGGACGAGGCAGCAGCTCCGCGTGGAGGCCGCGGCAGCCCCGGCTCCCCTTCCGAGCCCCTTTCCCATGGGATCCGCTGGCTTCGGAGGCTATTCCAGGTGTTAGGAAGGGAACAGCCGCAGCGGGATCCTTATTGAAGAGCAGCTTTCCCTGCCCCGGGGGAGGCCGGGACCCCCGGCAGCGCAGAGGCTGCCTGGCCTCCCCCGGAGCAGATCAGTAACCACGGGCTTAAACATTAACCCGGGCAGGGGCCGCTGCCCTGGGCCCCATGAGGGATCGTGGCAGCGCCCCGTCCTCGGGGACCCCCTCCCGCTCCCAGGCCTGCGTTGGTGTCACCCGGCCACAGGAGCGAGTGTCCYCGTGGGTCCCCTCGCCTTGGCCGCTGGGTGCCGGCCACCAGCGCGGTGACTTGGTGGCCACCTTGTTTTGGCTCCTGGGAGAAGGAGTCCGGACGCCCCCTGGTTCCTCCCGCTCCGGTCCCGCGGGGCTCCGGCTGCAGCCGTGCCCGCTGCTCCGGCCCAGGAGCCCCAGATCCGCAACCTGCTTCCCGCAGCCCCCTCGCCCGGGGCTCCTCGTGCCGAAGCCCCCTTTTCCATGCACGCTCCATCCCCGCTGGATCCGCGGGCAGCTCTGCACACTGCGCTGGAGCGGGGGGCTCTGGGGACCCTCCAAATGCCACCTCTCCCTTGCCAGCTCCCGGGATGGGGCAAAGCGGAGCCCCCCGAGCCTYGAGGCGGACCGGAAAGGTCCCGGTGCCGGTGGAGACCGGGGGGGCGCCGGGGCCGCCCCG